CTCACCATGGCCTGTTTTCCGTGCAGAAAAATATAAAACGGTTATAGTTAACCTGCTGCAAGTTTTAGGCACATGCTGGTGCAAAAAGTAACCAAATTTGTCCTGTCCCATAGCCGAAATACGGCTGAAATATTGCCGACTCGGCGTTAAACAATAATAATCAATCAATCCTGTCCCGTAACTCTATGTCTTGCACTTTGGACAGCTCTGCCGGGAATGACGTACAAGCTATTGCATTTACATATAAGGTAGTGACCAGAGAATTTAAAAAATATTGACCGTGTACGAGACTGTTGATACCCTTGTTTCATCGCTTCGTTTGGCTGTAGCTTGCTGTCAGTCATTTTGGATAATATTCATAAGTAGAACATACTCTTGCGTATCGAATCAATTGAGAGACATAAACTCAATACCCAGGTGATAGAGTATATTGCTACAGAAGGTCTGTTGAGGATATTATAGCTGAAACCATCACGTTTATCATAAAGTTTAGTTGTATTTTGCCATCATTGTCTTTCTCTATTGACACATCCAAATATAAAAAAGACGTGTAAGACTGTGGTGTCTTTCATTTCGAAGTCTATGGGGTATAACAAATCAATGAATGAATGCAAATGAATATTGCTAATCGGTGAAGCAATTTATCCAAATGTCGCATTTAATGCCACAATAACAGACTACAAAGTACTTTTTCCCATGGCACCTGATCCCACCTCCGATGTTTTGGAGGTTGGTGTTGCTTTGCTCCTATTTTATATTCTTTAATGGACTTTTGAACTTGAATACTGTTCGTTATCTTCATATATTTCATGTAAAGGTTTTTGAATAAATTATGCCTCATAAGAATACAAAAACAGTTGCTATGTTAAACTCGGTGTCTTTTCAATAAATAACTTAGTGCCATCCTGATACCTGAACCATTATGTGCTGCCATGAATATTCACTATTTTTGAATCGGGGTGTAAGTAATATATAATAATGAAATTTAGTTAATAATGAGTGGAAAAAATTTTCAGTATATCTCTAAGAACCCATAAATGTAAGGGTTTCTAAGCATGTGACAAATTATATCAATTGAGGCAAACATCAAATTCTTTTAGGCAACTTGAAGTGTTTCTGCTTTCATAAAATGATTTTATCGACATAACATAAGCTCCAGCGTTTGTTATCCATGATCTTAGACACTTGAAAATTGAAAATTTCAGCGGCATTGTAAATGTGTAAATAATTAAAAAAAAAAAACTTCTTGCATCATAGGAATTATCATCATGATGATTAAAATATTAATATATTATTCCACCATTTACATGTACGGTCGGATTGATTTGAGTAAAACAAAGGGAGAAGAAAAGAATTTGCAGAATTGATTTATATAATATAACATTAAAATCAAATTTTAGTTATCAGAACTTGAAAGTAATTTTTCTTCTGAAAATTATTTTCTGATATCGAAGTTAAATTACATTTTACAATAAGCTCGAATTTTCTGTATCATATATATTCTTATTCACCTTTTTTTTTTAACTTTGAGTTAGCATAAATATTCAGAAAAAAAACCAAAACATTACTATTAATATTTAGACATTTTACATATACATTTCACACAGACAAAGCTATTGTGACATAGCATAAAAGACGGATCCCTGGAAATTCCAGAGGTGGGAAGATGCCAAGGAGGATCAAGCATCCCCTGTCAACCGGTCACACCAAAGAATGCTCGATTACACAGAGTCTGCCACATTTGCTTCATATTTGGTTGTTTTGCTGACTATAGTCGAACGAGAATGACCAACTAACAACTAATTATATGTCAAACGAAATAATTTCAGTTTTTCCATCGTTAACGTTCCTTATTCATGAAGTAATATTCTCCAATAAACAGCATATTATGTCTCCCAACTTATTTGATACTCAAGAACAAATTCTGAGTACGATCAATTCTTAAACAAAAGCTGGATACTGACAGATAAGTTGATGTTACAGGGATTCCAACATCCTCGTTTAAAGTCAGTATTTCGTAAATCCGCCGAAATATGGCTGAAATATTGCCGACTCGGCGTTGAACAATAACAATCAATCAATCGTAAATTCAATGATTGTTTTCATGACCTTTTTAACAAATATGACCTATCTGGTTCGTATGATGGCTGACTGTGTTTCATACCTATTGTGAACCATTGTTTTTATACTATATTTGGCAACGGAATGTTCAGTCTACCTAATTAATACATAGGGCTCACAGCGGGATTGACCGGTCAATAGGGGATGCTTACTCCTCCAAGGCACCTGATCCCACAAGAATTTCCGGAGGTCCGTGTTTTATGCCCTCTTCACAGATTTGAATAATAATAATAATAAAATTTAAAAAATGGGTATCTTAAAATACTTTAAAACATAAACTTCCGCATGTAGAGCAGATTCAATTTTGTTCAAATCATGGCCCCAGGGGATAATTTAGGGCAACAACAAGTACATCGAAGTTATACATTAGAGTATATTGGAAAGCAATTTGTTAAAGTATTTCTCTCAAGAACAACAGGTCCATAATTAGTCATATGAATATGCAAGCATCTACAGTTGGTGTACATTCATTTTTTTTTTTTAATTATCCCCCCCCCTCCCCGAGAGTAAGGGTTGAGCCACATTAGGGGATCAAAATTTTAAAGGAACAAAATATGTGGAGATAAATAACAGCATTCGAGCTCAAAAGTCCATTAAACATTACAAAATAGGAGTAGAGCAAACACGGACCTCTAAGACATCAGAGGTGGGATCAGGTGCCTTGGAGGAGTGAGCATCCCCTGCCGACCGGCTCCTTGTCATGATCGGTAAATAACGGAAAAATCCATTGTCAAATCAGTGTGTAAATAATGGCCTAACAATTAGTATGAAAAAAGTCAGTCAGCATTTGACTTCATGAAAGATTGTATTTGCTGACAAGGTCATTGAATCGACCATAGAACTTTAATGATGACTTTAAACGAGACTGCTGATATTCTTGTTTCATCAACTTGTTTGTCAATAGTTTACCTCGTTTTAGAAATTGTTCATACGTAGAGCATGCTCTTGCGTATCGAATCAACTGAGAGATGTAAACCCCATATGCAGGTGATGACGTTATCTTGCTGCATAAGTAAGGGAAGCTGACGATTGAAAAGTTAAAGTCATCACGTTTGTCATAAAGTTTTGTTGTTAGATTACCATTAACGTCTTTTTCTAATAAAATATCCAAATATGAAACAGATCTGTCAGACTCTGTGGTATCTTTTATCTCAAGCTCACCGGGATATATCGTGTCGACATAAGAATGGAAATAACCATGATTGTTAATTGACAATACGTCGTCGATATATCTAAATGTCGAGTAGAAGGTCACAGCAAGTGTTTTCTTCTTTTCACGTAAAAGATTTTGAACAAATTCTGCTTCATATGAATACAAAAATAGGTCTGCTAATAACGGGGCGCAATTGGTACCCATGGAAATTCCAATAGTTTGTTGGAAGACCTGGTCTCCAAAAACCACATAGATATTGTCAATCAGAAACTTGAGCATCTTTTTAATGTGAACATCAGAGTACTTGTGTGGACAATCAGATTGTTTTTTAACAAAGCAATTTTGCAAATGACCAACGACAAAATAAATAAATTTACGAGTTCCATTTTTATTGAAAAAGCAGCTGTCAATAATGTCAAAAGGTCTGGATTTATCGTGGGGAATGGTTGTATATAAAGCTGAAAAGTCGCAAGTTTTTATGTTGTTGATTTTGGTAAAATATATGATTTTTTCTCAAGAACAGCAGGAGCACATAACATCACATTAATATGCAAAGATTCCTGTTCGTAGGGTAGGGCTACAGCGAATCAGATTTACAAGGGAATACGGAGGAACAAATCTACTACGAGTAGCAGGCCAAGGTTTTAGGGATTCTTTTTTTCTTCATATTTATGTATCCTGCGGATGAGGTGGATCTAAAATTGAAAATAAAATAAAATAAAATACAAACAGGAAACAGGGAAAAAAAACATTCACCTTCTCCAGAGCAGAAGGGGAATGTTTCTTTATATATACTGATTGCACTCAAAAGAAGTGAGGATTAATGTTTGATTTCATCATAATCATCATAATTACGAAATAATAATAAAAATACATATTGCATGATACAGTCATGTGTTCATCAGGTGCTCGATGGTAATACGATGTATCTTACCTACAAGCTCAATGGCCTTTAAGCTTTTTAAACACTCTATTCTTAAGAAGTGCTTAATTTTCGAGTAATTAAATGCATTATGCAGACAAGAACCTTCTCTTTAAAAAAAAATCTTATTCGAACAAGTTCATCTAAATTAGAAATGTTTGTTTTGAAATCAACATATTCTTCAATTGTAATTAGTTTATCATTCCTTATTGTAGCTTCTTTACTAAAAATTAAGTTATTTTTTAAACATTTCCTAATTTGAAAGAAAGGAAAGTCCTAACCTTGAAACATTCATATATCTGGCTGTAGGCGTGGAATTCGTGTAAGATACACGTAATCAAATGAACGTGTTAAGTCTACCCGAAAGCAGGTAATCTGCATTTTAAGTACATTTGAATTCAACACTTATGATTAAAATTAAATCATTTTCACGGCTTACTGAAAATTTATAATTGTAGATAATTAACCGATATTTATAAACATCTGTACACAGAAGATCAATAGAAATCGGAGACTTTTTCTCCTGCGTCTAAGCCTCTTACAATAAAGATTTAAATTGCATTTAAACCCAGACATAGAGTTTATTATATACTAGATATCGAACCACAAAACAACATTAATCTGCAGGTTTTGTCGCAAATTATCGACTTTAAAAAGATAAAAGGTTAAAAATTCGGTTTTCCTTTTTTCACCGCAGAACCTCGGGCTTGAATTAAAGTTCTTTAATGAGTGGGGAACAAAATGATAAATACTGAAACGTGTGGCCCTGTATAGCACTGTGTACCATTTCAATTGAAGAAATTGGAAAGTAAATTCAAATTATCGAGCACGGCTTATTGTTATCTTTTTCTACTACGTCACGGGTTCTCGTTTTGGACCGGGTGTTGGGAATGCAAGTGAATTTGAAAATACGTGCCAGGTAGATATAAATGAAATAGGTACAAAGGTACATTGAGAATGGAAATTTGGGTCTGACGGGAAAGGTGAACCAAGGTCCTGGCAGGTGTATCGATTTTTTCTCGGGTGTTGTCAAATCTGAAATCTGTCAGAAATATTTACTCTTCGACAAGAAGTGCTCAATTCTGAGGCAAGTTTTTCGCCAAGGAGAAAACATGAGGACACTTTTACCTGTACAAGATTACTAGGTAAGTAAATTTATTTTCTGAATAATTTAATCAAATAAGCAATATAAATACAATTTATATTAATTTAAGAGATAAGATTATGCGATTGAAATTCTAAATAAACGTACAATTGATGCATTTTTTTAATAAAATATGTGGTCGCAATTTAATGTATAATTCTTAGATTTTTTTCAAACAAGTTTTCCTTTCATTCTAAATGTTACGTACATACTAAATTCAAATCTTTGTAAGTCAATACGGTTTTACATGTACGCAGGGTTGTCAGAATATAAGGAATACATGACGATTCTTAATTATGTCTAAGACGTTATTAATTTTTTCAAATATATGTTTATCCCTCGGAAAAAAAAAAACAAACAAACAAAAAAAAAACAAAAAAAAAACCAATAGTTAAAAGTTAAGACATTGAAGAATGTGAAGTCAAAATTGAGCAAATAACTTGTTTGTTGCATTATCAATCTACACGGTGCATAGATAAACACTGTTCCTCGCCATGGATATCTAGACAGGATTTAATTCACTTCATTTTCTCTAAGGGTTGGGATAAAACTGTATACATTTTAAGATTTTATCACACAAGCCCGGCAATTTATTGTTATGTTAAACCAGAAACCTTAATGATGGTGACAAGATTTTGGTTAACCGAGTTATTCATTATTTTCATGATTATCTTCCAAATACGAAATCTAACGCCATAATGGTTTATACAACCTCGGATTGGAGTTGGCAATACATTTTGAGATCTAAAGTGCAGTTTTTAAATGGGTTAAGCCACCCTTTGTGGGTTTCTCCAGTTCAACTTTACAGTAACAGCGATCCAATTTTCAACGTCTTTAGAGAATAGACGGTCATAAATATATTTGAACAACACATTTCTTAAGAAAGATAATGTGTTACCGGGATTCGCGTAAAATGGGCCCTTCTCCACGAGATTGTTCCGTTACTTTGCCAAAATGAATGATACTATTTGGCGGAGATAAGTCAGATTTAAACCTTACCTCTTTACTGTGTTTACACCGTCTTTCACATCGATGTTCGTATTTACTCTGTAAGTATTGAATTAACTTTTCCTGGGCAGCAAATAATTAGTACAGCAAAATTGATCTCATTATTTCTATTTCTTTCTTTTGTGAAGTAAAACTCAAGAGTTGAGAGGTAAAACGAAACCTTTTCAATACAGTGTGTTTATAGTTTAAAATAGATTTTTTTCTGTATATCAAGCTTAAAGAAAATCTCACCAAATGAAATTACATTGTACATGTAGTTCCAAAATTCCAAATTAAGGCAAAAAATAAGACAATATCTTTTTCAATGCTGTGTTAAGGTGTAGCTGGATACATTTTCACGTAGAACTTCATTTAGAAGTTGTTTTTTCTTCTTTTTTATGATTTCAATATATTACATTTCAAAGCAAGGTTGTTTAAACTTTTTTTTGTATTTTCTGTAAGTATTATAATAAATTAATATATAAAATAATATGTACATATAAATTTGATTTTTTTTATTTATTCGTATTTTAGGTCAATATGATGAAGAATCCATTCTACAATCTGTCCACTGTCGGAAGTGGGGAGAGCGTCTTTATTTATCCGCTGGACGGCTCGGTCACTCTCCTTGGGTCGGGTACCAAAGACTTGGTGGTTCATCGTCTCCGCCCGCCACCAGGGGGCGTTAAGACCAAACATGTCGCCTACCACGGAGTGATGAAGTATAAAAGCCCAGACGAAACGAAGGAGGAAAAACAGCGGAAAGGGATTCTGAAGAATTCTTCAGGAAATCAGTTAGATGGACGCGAGGGGGCATCTCAAAAACTTGACGTGTCTAAGATTCAGTGTGTTTTAAAGAAAAGGAAAACCTCTGCAAATGAGAAACAATCAAATAGCTCATATAGTTCTAAGAGTCAGAAGAAAGTGAAATTTGATGACAAACTTAATAAACTGACTGAACTAGGTATAAAGTATAAAGCTATGGATCCAGACATGCGCAGTCATCCTGGCGATGTATCCCACATCCGGCGACAGCATCAAATTCAGCGAATTCCGGTCAAGTCTTGTCAAACTTCAGAGGTATTACATGATCAGGAGAAAACATCGATGAAAATTTCGGATATTTACGACTTAAAAGATTCCCATGAAAATAGGACTGTATCTCCAAGGTCGCTGTCAAAATCTACATCAACCAACAGCGGAAGTTTACATCGCCGTACGTCAGGGGACTCGTATCCGCTTATTGAGACTGATGCCGAGGATTTTGTGCGGATGGATGTTTGTGAAGACGGAGTAATTCCAACCTACAACCCGCGTGAATCAACTTATCAAGGGGATCGTGATTCAAGGAGTGGGGGAGATATGACGGATTATAGTAACAGGCTAATTGAAAATGGAATCCCCGTATTTACTAAGACTGGGAAGTTTGTTAGGACAACTAAACTCAATAACTATTTTCGTGAGAAAAAATGTGAAGGTGAAACTGACGATAGTATGAAGCCAGACAAACCGAATTATCGTCTGCCTTTAGAATCAAACCGGAAAGACAAATCAAATTCGAACCCAAGAGAAATCAGAAGAGTGTCGTCTGCTCAGAAGTCTTCCATGAAAACAACGACAAACAGTACTAGTGGTGCTAAAATTACGCGGTCAAGCGTGAAGCCGTTCATGTTTACTCGTTACAGTAAAGACCAGGGCGCTCCCCCCTCATCTCATCCAGACATGAACAACAATAAAAACTTCTGTGATGATTTCAAGACTTATGATATCATAAGATGGCTAACCAGTGTCAAAGAGGTTCAGTCAAAAGAGGGTTTCTCGAGCTTCCCAATCGAACACGGTGCACGTCAGTAAACCTTAAAACTTCATGTGTCAGATCAAGTGAATATGGTGCACTTGAAAACTTCTTAGCCCTGAATGTGACTGATAGTTAAATTTCAGTATTATATTTGCAACCCGGGTGCTTCTTAAGTGTCTCAGTTTTGTAATAAGTTATGGTCAGTTGTTTTTTGTGCTTTTTTGTTTTCGTTTTGTGCACTGATTGTATTTTTGACAATTGTTTATCTTATGTAGGTACTACTACATGTATACTAGTTCACATCCTGCTAGTATAAGTTCAATGTGTGTTTTAAATTTGTTTTCAATAATTCATTCCATCTCTTGTAATTCGGTGCAAAATGAATCGTCTTTTGCCAAGAAACTTTCGAAACCTGATCACGTATTTTCCCTCTTTGTATTTTGTTTCGTTCAAAGAATGGGCATCAAGCACTGAATTCCCCCTCCTCATTTTCCCTCCCAGATGTTGTTTAAAGATATTCTGTCCAACTCTGTTATCCTTTTGTAAAGGACTAACTCATATTTATTGTTGGGTTTCTGAAACGCCATGGAATTTGGAAATTTTCATGTATTTACAATGTAATTACACGGAATTAACTTTTTTACTATATTAGACATACATGTGCCACCTTATTTAGAAAGGAAAAGACGAACTAAATTAGGTGTGGTTTTTACTGAATGAGGAATCGTTGTTCTTAATTTTTCGTTTAGAAGGACGCGATTGACGTTTGTAACAAGTACACCGGTCACATGATCAAGTACACCGTTTCAAGGTCGACGAACTGCTCTGTTTCTCTCTTCTCGATTTGTTTCTTTCTGTCAAATTTTCGTTAACTCGAGAAGTTAGAACGATAACGGGCATGCACTTGTAAACATAGGATATCTTTTTCCCCCTCCTCTCTCATTTATACGGAGAGAAAGAGAGAGAAGGAGAAAAACTGGGAGGGAATGATTCTCGTTTGATATCACACAAGGACACTCTTGCATAAACAAATTATGAAAATGAAATGATCTGTATTTTGACAAAATTTCAATCCTATTGTAAAGTATGCAATTACTGTACCTGAGATTTAAATAGATTATAATTAGCTTAAGCTCATTAACACATTGAAAGATTAGTTTAGATTAACAGGCCCCACATGTTATAAAGCGGTTGATGTAGCAGTAATATCTGTTTCTGATATATTTATGGACTGATATAAATGGTTGTTTTATTATACTAATATGTTGATAGTTAATGTTAAATTATTACTGTTATCAGTTTTTATGAATTATGTTAAAAAATTAGTCTCATCACTCTTCCATTAAATATGTTGTCATGCATCTTTCTTCCATTTTTTGTCCTCATTTCATTCAAGAGAAGTTAACCTTTTTTTTTTTTTTTTTTTTTGCTTTTGTTTTTATTATCTGTAGATACATGTATGAAGATGAAAAATACAAACTTTGACCATGATTGAGACAAACTGATCACAAAATGATAAAAGATCTGCATTCATAAAATTCATATAAACTTTTGTATTTAATAATTTAGTATTAGAATATCCAATAAAGAACCTCCCCAGTATTACTTTCAGGAAAGAATATTAATTAATTTGCCTTTAATGAAAGGTAAGTGTGTACTCTTTAAGAGGTTAATCTAGATCTGGTTATGTGTTAATAACAATATTGCTAAAAACTAAAAAGTTCTTGTAATTGCACTAACAAACCGGATACACCCCTCAGATAGTATTTGTTAACGATGCCTTTCTTTCAACATAAGCGGATCAGATATATATACCTGCAGAAAATAGACGAGGGGTGGAAATTGGCATTGTTTGATTACATTCAATGACTAATAAACGTTTGAGGTATAAGTAAATAAAATTTATTACCCTCCCCCCTCTTAGGCCTTGCCTAGACAAAAGGAGCATTTCTTGGGGTGAGAAGCTCGACATAACATTGCTATTCAGCTTGGTATACAATTTGCGAAAATTACCCCCAATTCACGCAAATATAAAATCCGCTTTATATCTATAGTCTTAAAAAGCGTGTTGTTTGTTCTGATTAAGGTAAGTCAGGGCTTTCAAAAATTTCTGGCAATCAAATGGAAAATTATAGAATACAAATAAAAATTATAGAATACAAATAAAAATTATAGAATACAAATAAAAATTATAGAATACAAATGGAAAATTATAGAATACAAATAAAAATTATATAGAATACAAAATGGAAAATTATAGAATACAAATAAAAATTATATAATACAAATGGAAAATTATAGAATACAAATAAAAATTATACCATACAAATAAAAATTATAGAATACAAATGGAAAATTATAGAATACAAATGGAAAATTATAGAATACAAATGGAAAGTTATAGAATACAAATAAAAATTATACAACACAAAAAAAATTATACAATACAAATAAAAAATTGTACGATACAAATAAAAAATTATACTATACAAATGGAGAATTATTGAATACAATTAAAAATTTACAATGCAAATGAAAAAATATAGAATATAAATGGAAATTATACAATACAAATGAAAAGTAATAAAATTGATATAGATAATATACTATATGGTGCTGAATCCTTATGTTTAGAAGACAACTTTTCATTTTTTGATCATGTACATACCTTAATAAGAAACTCAAAGAGGTTTTCACTGAAATCATAGTTTATCATGATATGCTAGGAAGAATAATATCTCATTTTAGGTATGTTAAGGAAATTTCTCAACTCTGAGTCAACTTTATTATGTTTTTTTATGCTCTCTCTCTCTCTCTCTCTCTCTCTGTGGATTCACTTTATACATGTACCAATTAATGGTTTATCTTACCTACTGCTTTTCAATGTTAAATGTACCAATAATTGTTATATGTACCTTGACCTATGGAGAGAACGATTATAGGCAATATGCCTGCTGTTCAATCCATTTCATTTGTAATGAATAAATATATTTTAAACTAAAAGTAATAAAATACAAATGGAAAATTATACAATGCAAATGGAAAAGATCGAATTTTGCAACATTTGACATGCCATAGTAATGTGTCTTTCACCTATATTCAAAGATAGTCGGGTTATAAAATCAAACCGGACGCAAAAAAACCACGGCATTACTTTAATGTAATAATACATATTGGTACTTTTTTTCGTTGTTATATTCTAGGAATAAAAAATATAGTTTTCAATTAATATTTTTAAAACAAATTTTAACACATTCATTCAACAGGCTTTGCCAAAAAATAAAGATATATTTAAGAAGTCAAGATAATATTTACATTGTTTTTAATTCGCCTAAAAATCGCAGATTTTGACCAATATCTCAAAATTTACATCACTGGTCCCAACTTTTTCTTTCATTATTTTGAATTTCACGATACTTTAAACCAATCGGCACTTAAGTCATAAAAAAACTCGATGTTAGAAAACATTTTATTGCTTATTAAATTTTTAATACCCCAAAGTATGATATTTTTTATTGCGAAAAAGGTAACACAACAATTTACATGCATTAATTTGCAGTATTTTTTCAACAATAAATATCATTCAATTTATTTTACATAAAATAAGATTATATGTATTGCTATGATTACATTTGGTAAAATATGATAAAGATTAAGTGATTAACCTGACAGTTACAATTTAAGTGCAAAAAGGTCAGGTTAATTGTACCGTCTCTCAATAAGACTCACAACCCCTAATTTTCTTTGCGATTTTGAGTCATGCTATATGAGTAGTAATCTAAAATACCGGTATACTTCTCAATAAATCCTTGAAATAATACGTTTCACGAGTGATATACCTTAAGAAAAGTGTAAAGTGAAATCCATGTTACTTCCGAGATAATAATTTGTTATAGTATTTCTTCACATTTTTAGATAAATGTAAATTAAAAGTCTATCAGGAGATTGATTTCTCCAACAATTGACATGTAGTTAAAATATCTTTAACACAATTCAACCATTTGGAATGATAAACATCAGCAACATCAAGTTTATAATACCATAAAGTGTTCGAGAAATTTTCTCTTGTTTTCCTGTAAAAATTCTTTCCCAAAAACCAATTATTCTTGCTTTTATAGAGATTGACATTGGTATTCTCCCAAGTACAATTTGGGGTGCACTTTCATCGATACTTAATATGGCAAAGGGATCAGAGTTGCCTCCCGTAGTTTATGAATCGATACAATATTTACACGCACTGTGTCATGTGAAATATTGAATGTTTACATTGTTTGAACCCTGTATTCATTGTGGATTTTAATCATGAAACTTAACACATTGCTTTTCATGTTTAGCTGAGAAAAACAACAAAGAAAGAAAAAAAATCTAATTTCTAACTTGCTTTACACGCTTAGTTTCTAAATACTTACACCAATCTTTCTGACAAGCGGAAAAACCTTCCGAGCTTGCCGGAAAGGCCAGAGAAAATGCGATTGCACTCACATTTGAATATGATTACGCTACTTTTAAGAATTTTTTTTTAAATGAATGTATTTAAATGAAAAAAAAAACAAAAAAAAAACATAAAAACAAACAAACAAAAAAAACAAACAAACAAACAAACAAAAACAAATGAATTCTTTTTTTTTCTTTAAAAATCGATTAATATTATTTCAATTCAAACTGACCTGACATTTTGAATTTAGTAAGAAGTCACTGCCAAGAAGTAAAAAGGAAACATTGATGCAATGTAATTTGTTCTTCTGCTCATAATGTATAAGTCGCCCGCGTGGCGCAGTGGTTAGAGCGTTCGCTCTAGAGTTGCGGAGTAAGGAGTTGATCCTTACGTCGCGGGTTCGAATCCCACTGTGGGACGTGGAGACCGGTCCTTCGGATGAGACCGTATAAACCGAGGTCCCGTGTAGGTGTGGCACGAAAACGACCTCTCACTGCTCAATGGCCCTAAGTGCCGAGTATAGGTCAAAAAATTTGCAGCTCTCCACCGGCAAGTGGTGGCGTCTCCATATGAGTGAAAAATTCTCGAGAGGGACATTAAACAATAGACAAACATAAACATAATATATAAATATATAACATAGTATATTAATAAACATAAAACATGGGAAATTATTAAATATCATACCAAATTTATCATTATTCTATAATTATAGAATGAATTTCAAAACTGCAAAATATTCAAACATAAGAAAACAGCGACACTGACGTACACCTCTTCCTCATACACATGCGTGCTTTATTTCTCAAAACTCTTTCTCTAGATTTCTAGTAAAGGCACAGTGCAGTGCG